CCTCCAAAAATATAAGAATGTTCCTTGCACACGTTAAGGCTTAGAGAGGAAGCTCACTACCTTAGTATGCATAAGGGCTAAACACCTTGTTGACAGCTGGCATTTATGAAATCACTGCAGTACTTTTCCATTGGGACACTCTTACCTATCTGCTTACCTAATCCCAGTTGATGATTATTTTGGCCATGCAGTCTTGCTCCCGATTACAAAGAAGCACATACTGCAGGTTGTGTTTATTAGATGGACTAAACATCTGATCTGCATATACAATCAAATTTATTGTTCAGTGCTTACATAGACTTCTAAAGCACATAATCATAAAAAAATGCCATATAAAAACAAAATACTTCAATTTCAAGTGTTTTTAAAAGCTTAATTACTTTTGATTCCAGCTGAAGAACTAAGCCTCAATCAGGAACACCTCTCAGGTTAATACATAGCTGTCACAGGATGTATCACTACATCTAGGAAGGTTCACTTTGTTCTGTATTACCTCCATTTTTCTACCACTATCAGTAAAACTCTATGGAGTGAAATTTAATTGCATTATTGATGCAAGCATCTTATGATGGAGTATTAGGGCCAGATAAGAGATTATTATTATTTTTAAATAAAGTCGTAACATTAAAAGAATAAAGTTTTTACATTACGAGAATAAAGTTGCAATTTATGAAAATTAAGTCTTCATACAACAACCTGGCCCAGAAAGAAAGCTTTGAGCTCCGACCAACAGATGACGGCCGACCAGCTCCACCAAACAGCAACCTGTGTCCACTTTGACATCCTTCCCCCAATTTGATGCTGGTGTGCTTAAAGATTTCATTATTTATGAAACCAGAGGCAAAGTATAACTTTACATGATGCTCAACATTCCTCATTTTAGGAAAGACAGTGCTTCTTGTAAGAGTAAAATACAACTTGTTTCTCGCAATTTTAGGACTTTATTCCCGTAGATCACGACTTTATTCTCATAATTTTTTTTATTATATATATATATTTTTTTTATCTTTACACAGATTTTACATTTTTCATTAATTTACTTTTTTCAAATTGCTTTTACAGATCACATTCTCTTCACTTCAAGCCCCATACAATCATGTGCTCTCTGGACGCGCCCACTAAACAATGAAAATGTTGCTGTCGTTCTTGCAGACCAATAGGAATGTAACTCGTTACTGCAGATGAAAGCCAGCCCCAGGGGAGAGAATGTGATCTGTAGTACCCATTTTTATAAGAATGCAATTTGTAAAGCACAATTTGAAAACAGAAATATGAAAAATAGAAACTATGAAATCTGTAAAAAGACCAATTGAAAAAGTAAAATTTGAAAATATATAATCCACTAAAATTAATAGAAACTAATTTTGAAAATATAAAATTTGGAAAAAATGCAATTTGTAGAACTAAAATTGAAATTGGAAAAACAGAATCTGAAAAAAACAGCAAAGCTCTCTTAAATCTTTTTAATTAAAACCTTTTTCGAGGTTTCATTTCTGTATTGCACTTGTTTTTTTTTTCAAATTTCTATTTGAAAATATTTTCTTTCCTTGAAATGAAATAAGGAAATGGAATTCACTCCCTAAATCTCCATAGCACCGTACGGAGAAACAACTTAAAAACACGGTGCTTCAACTGAAGGTATCACCTATCAGCCTGACCCTAAATCATTCCGGTGGATTCAAACACTTCAATGTGATCAGTAATATCTAGAAGTTTTAAAGGGTTATCTCATCATATGGATCTCATGTGAAAGGTTTAGGCAACAGACTCCATTCTTCTAAATACTCTTTTTTTGAAAGGAGCCTCTGTTAGCTCTTAGAGCCCCTTTACAGCGTTGATAATGCATTTTCTGCTCTTCTCAAAGGTTCTCTGTTACAGGACCTTTGTGGAGTTCTGTAACGCTCCTGCTTATAAAAAACATCTGATATGTACAAGCTGACCCTCAACATTTATTTTCACCTACTATCACCTGCTGTTGGCAGCATTAACGTATATCTGGAGTGTTATTAGTTGGGCTTCCAGCTCGAGTTGCTATTCTGCAGTCCAGATACACTGATCAGATTTCAACATCTGCATATGTCCGGATATTGGAGAAAATTCCAGAATGATATCGGGCAAACTGGCAAAAACTTTCCTGTTTGATAAAGCTTATAGTTAGAGTGGCTCAGGTTATCCTGAGCTATCTCTATAGTTATACTGCTATAGGCTTAGTCTGCTGGAGGACATAGGGACCCCTATTTCATCATTCTGCTTCATTCTATCTCTATTCTCCCACTCTGCAGAATCTGTTAGTTCAATCTCTAACGTTCTGCTCTCTCTGCTTTTTCTCATAGTAGCTTCATCTGGTCTGTTCCTGTTTGGCTGTGACTCCATCCTGGAGAGAAATATCAGCTGTTCTGCTGCCATCAACACCTTTGTTTATAGATGTTGGTAATTTGTCTGTTTTTCAGTGTAGTCCTGTTTCTCTGACTGTGACTGTTCTCTCTTCATCCTCTGACATGAGAGCTCATCTGCCTGGCTGTGTGTTTCCTGGATGGGAGATTTTCCTCTCCACTGTTGCTACAAGCATCGCTTAGTGTGAGGGATTGCTGAAGAGTCAATGAGTCGATCCAATCAACTGGTTTTCCTTACTATAGATATAAAACTTTGAAACAATTTCACTGTATGATCTGGTGAACTGTAAACTGCCTTAAGATGACGTGTGTTGTGAATTTGCACTATAAAAATAAATGAATTGAATTGGCATAATAAATAATGAATTCAAGTTAGGTTAAAAGTTTTGTGAACAGGAAAGATTTTCCCTTTATGACATCTTTGACTTTTAAAATCCAGTCAGTTTAATACAGTTGATATTTGTTTTCAGGATGGAATTTGTCTGATTAAAACTATTTACTGTTTTTCTGAATTTCTTTTCTGACTTTATACTAATCTCAGTTTTTTTTTTTTTTTTTTTTGTAATATAGCTAGATATGTACATTCCTCAAACCTATTTGTATGATTAGGTATCAATTAGGGCTGAACAAAATGTATTGGATTAATTGTGACTAATCGATTGAAATAATTGTCAACTAATTTAGGAATCGAGTAATCGTTAACTGGAGTATAGAAACTCTAAAACATGCCTTTAGCTGAGACCCACTTAGAATAGTAATTATATAAAAATTGTAAATAAAATATAATTTTGCATTTAAGATAAAAAAAAAAAAAAATGTTTTCCTCTATCAATATGCTCTATCCAAAACTCCTCATGTGCAAAAGTTTTAGTTTCACCTGGTTTATTTAAATTTTCTTTAAGGAACCTCTGGCTATCTGATTATTAATTGATTAATCGAAAAAATAATCGACAGATTAATCTATTTGCAAAACAATTGTTAGTTCCCTAGTATCAATTAAAATGTCAAACATCAATTAGAATCCCATCCCCATGATTAAGAATCAATGTTTTTCGAACCGAGGTCGATCGAGCCTCATTCAGTTCGATCTCAAATTTGGATTGCTGATATTAAAAAAACATTTATTTAGTTATTCACCGAATTACATGACTGTGTGGTTATGCAACCCGCTGTAATAGTGATTGTATAATATCGACATTGAACAAAAAAAATCAATAAAGTTCTGGATGTTAACGGCTGTTGTAAAGACAGTTGAAATTCAGTTAAATTCAAAAATATTTTATTAATCCCAAAGGGGAATTTATTGCTGCAGTAATTCTCTTTTCAGAGAGTTTTTACAGTTGTTGATAGCTGTAAGCAGGAAGAATCTTCTGTATCGGTCTGTCTTTCACTGCATCCAGAGAAGCATCTTACTTGAGACACTTTCTTGTTGTTTAAAAAATCTTCTGAAGAGGACGCTCACTGTTGTCCACAATATTCATCATTTTATGAAGAAATCTTCTTTGTGAAATAATCTCCAGAGGTTGCAAATAAAAAAGCAAGTCCATCAGATGTGTCACTTGTAACTGGTCGACTTTAGCTTTATATCTTACAGTAAGCTATTATTTTAAGTAGCCTAGTTTTTTCCTGCCAGGCAGATGCAAATTAAGTAGTGCACACGACTGACATGCATTAAAGCATTCATCACGCAAATTAGCTAAATTAGGACATAACTCCCACATGCCTGTAATATGACCTTTTTCATGAGTGGAATAAGGATTTGGCATTATGATGAATTGAGACAGGAGACAGTTTAAGTTAAATACACAACAACCCACCATCTGCCATCTTTACTTTAATGTATTTATATTTCCAAACAACTAAATCTTTCAAACATGAATCCGAAACATGCAGATCCCTTCTTTCAGCCATCTGACCAGCAGTGCATAATGACAGGGTGTGTGAACAGGAACACTGCTTGACTTTATCCTCTGGTGCACCATAGCCGTCACACAGCTGAAGGAAATTCCCCTGAGTCTGGCACTTTTTCCGTAAGAATCATTAGCGATGGAACATGGAATCATTTTTGAAGCCAAATATTATTAAATCTTTAATAAACCTTAAAAACAGCAACCAAACTGACAAAACTGTGACTAATCATCTTTTAAGGTATTACAGCCAGCTGCGCAGCAAAACATTAAACATGGAGACAGATGGCATAAAGCCAACCTGTTAGTAAATATTCTGTTGATACAGAGAATCTCCATATGAAGACAAAAAGGTATAGCACTTTTTGTCCTTTACAGCTGCATTACAAAATGTATTTCTTCTTAGTCTTTACAAATAACAAAAAAATATATAATAATTAATCAGCTTAAAGTACAGAGACTCTTAACCTTATTTAATCGTTGAGAGTTTCTTTTTAAAAATAAAACAACTACATGTTTGGTCTATTATGTGATCTGATGTTTCTGTTTTATACAGTACAAACTATCTGCCAAAACAAATATAATATATTCTTTATCTTTTCTCTCAATTAGTAAAAAAACATAAACTGAATAAAAGAAAGCATGATTTAAAGCAAAGAGTAAAACTGTCCAAAAGTGAAGGTTTGGCTTTATAACTTACCCTCTGTTCATCGCTCAGCTGTCATTCCGCGGTAACTTTAGTGTCCTCCCTTTGGCTGCCTGTTTTCTCTGTTAAACTGAAATGAAAAGTGCGTGGATGACGTGATAGGATCTCCGTGGAACTCTTCCTGAGCACAAAACGCGCCGTGGCAGTTCACCGATGAGCGGCAGCGGACCGTGAGCTTTGCGCGCCGCGCCAGGCGGTTTTATCCCCGGCAGGGTTTGATTCCCCTCTGCGTCGGGAGCGCGCACTGGGCAGGACGAGCGGATCTCTTTGAGTGCGCCTCAAATCCAAACAACTAGACGATAAAGTAGAAATCTTCTTTCCTTTTGACAAAAGGGAAAAGATCATCATTGCTGCTACTTCGTCACGTAGGAGGGTTAAAACAGAAAATTACATTTATAGCTCTCACGTGGTAACGCGCGCGTGATTATCTAACCAAACAGAGCAGGTTTGCCTATAAGAGAATAACCACGTCTGTTTAAACGCCAATTATATAAATAATAACGCCTTTTGAAGAAATACATGATCTGCTTTCCATTTCCAGATGTTCTGCAGAAATATTTGTTTAAAACAAAAATGGAACACTGTTTACTTTAGGCTAGATAACCCACTTAAATGGATTACATGAGACAGATCCCAAATGCAATAAGATAAACACTAAGTATCACATGATTATTCTTCAGATATGTTGTTTTTTACAATCATTGAATCATGAAGCAAGAAAAGAGTCAGGAATCTATTAAAATATTAATAATAATCAAAGTTTTTATTGATTTTTCATATTCAAACAACAGACATCCCATCCAAAACATACAGAACAAAATAGTAGGTTCAAAATTTGCATCACAAAAACAAGTCAAAAACAGACAAACTAGCAACAAAACAGATTCTACCACTGTTCCAGACTCTCTTAGGTTGAAACCAAATACATATATTTCAATGACAATAATGAACACCCTGATAATAATTATGGAAAAGAGAAAATGGAAATTCACATTCAAAATAGGAAAGAAAAGGCTGACTGACCTTGAAATATCTCTTAGTATTGCCCTGTAAAGTAAATCTAAGATGTTCCAATTTAAGATGTGCCATCACCTCCTCTAGCTATCGTTTGTGAGTTGACGGCGCTGCCTTTATCCAATTAAATAAGATCAGTCTCCTGGCCAACAATGAAGAAAATACCAATGCTTTCCTTTGAGCAGTCGTTAATTGTGTTTCTTCTGGTGGCTATCAGAGGGACAGATTCAATGTTTTTCTTATAAAGTTTTAAGACTTTGACACAATTGCTTGAGTCTGGGGCAAGACTGGAATATATGAGATGTGTTGGCTGGCACTTGTTTACGGTACATCTAGGGCAATTCTGTTCATCTCCCTGATAGACTTTTGCCATTTTGTACCTTGTAAAATGGAATCTGTCTATTAGAATTGTAATGGTTTTAGTAAGCTGTCTGATCCACATGCATGAACATCTAACAGGAGACTCAGAAAGGGTTTAAGAATTTTATTACAATTGTGAAAAGATGATTTTGGGATCTGCTACAAAATGGTTCAGAAACTTGATAATCACAAGAGCTCTAAAAGAATAAAGGGTTAGTATGCAGTTGGGGGGTAGGTTACTGGAATAATGCTTCCAGATAGGCTGAACCTGGAATAAAATCCAAGAGCTCATCTGTTTCCTTGGGAGCAAAGCACACAAATGAGTTCCTTCACAGAGAGAAGTATAAGAAGCAGGTCCAAACTTAGATGACTTTTATTTTTTAAAGGAAAAGTCCGGTCATCAAGGAATAAGCAATGGCTCATTATCCATTTCCAAAACTTCTACTTCGTAGTGATTTAATAAATTTAGTGTAAATCATTGAAAAAAATAAAAACAATAATTTTCATCACAAGCACTGAGTCCGGGCATTTTTGACAATCAACAACATTTATTGAAGATTCCCAGAGGACTTCACCATTGAAATTCACCAGAGCTATAGTTAAACTGACAATGCCCACGTGCATGGCAGCTGGATATTGGAATACATCGGGTAAATTTGAAAAAACTGAGTTATTTCTCCTTTCTGATTCCTGATCCTCCACGGACGGGTTCATCGTTGGATTGCCAACTTGAAGAGGGAGATTTGCCATCGAACTTCTGGCCAGAGAAAAAACCCGTAATATGTAGCCAACATTTGGAAGAAGAATGTTTTCAAGATGACTTGGATAATAGCGCGTTGTGACAAACACCAGATACAGCACTGGGACTTGATCAACAGCCAATACCGCACCGTGACGTCACAAACCAGTAGGTGGCAGTAGTGTTCTTTGACAAACATGGATGCCTCCAGTAAAGCACATTTAATTGAAAATTACTCTGAATTAAAATACTTATAATCAGGGGCGTTGCTAGGCACAAAGCTTTACTGGGGCACTGGCCCCCATACCACATATGCCCCTCCTTCCATACACAAATACAGACAAGCACACTGCCCCACCCTGATAAATTCCTACCAAAATTACCAGTTGAGATATTAATGAGTGTAAGAGCATATTTGTTTTTACAAACATGAACGTTTTCAACATTGCAGCTATAAAAAATAAGACATTACCAACTTTAAAAATAAAAAGTTTCCTTATACACATTCTGAAGTAATCATTAATTCCTAGAGTTTTAGTTCAGGGGAAAGTTTAACTCAACCTGAACTAAGTTTTTCTTTTATTTTTTGAGCATTAAAGTGTACCTCCTATTTTTCATTTTTGCAAAGCGGTCAATCACTAGACTGTGACTCAGCTTAGAAAGTTCTTCCTTTTCAACTGATAAAATAGCAAGATGATGGAGCCTGTCTTGTCCCATTGTGCACCTCAGCCAAGTGTGGATCCTTCTCAGCACACTGAATGACCTTTCACAACTACAGCTGTAGTCTGGGATTGTGAGGGAGATCTGGATGACCTGTGTTAGTCTTGGGAACATGATGTTATCAAGCAAGTTGAAAACACACTGCATATCCTTGATGACAAGGCTTATAAAAATGATAAAAAGCTTTCAAACCATTTTGAATTAAATGAACGTTTTTTTTACTCCAAATTTGTCCTGAGGATGGTGGGACAACTTCACTTGTCTAGGACCATCATGCTTTCCCCCTAAGTCACTAATGTCCCCTTCTTGTTTGTGGAAGCTGGTTGTTGCTCCCTCATCACCTTCATGGTCCTGTCTCTCTCCTGTCTCTCTTGTCCTTCACCTGTCTCTTGCCCGTCAGTCTCGCCTCCTCCTCCCTTTCCTACTCCAGCACCTTCATTCTCATTCTCTACAGCGAACATTAAAAAACGTAAATTTATAATTATGTAAATATCTATCATATTGCTTATAACGTTCCTAATGTAACTGGTTAGCTTAAATCACTAATTCATCACGGGACCTTACCTCCCTCTCTCTCATCTTGTTTTACTGCTTCCCTGTCTCTGCTTCGTGTGAGGAATTTCCTGATATCCATCTACAAACCAATGCAGTCATTTTCAGTTAGTAGCCTATAAATCATGTGGTTTCACTGGGAAAATAATAAAATTGACAGGTAAGAAACGTTACCAGAACTAAAAATGCGTCGCGGCCGCACAGTGTCCCATCAACTCAGCTGAGAGCAGCGCGTTAATTTACCTGCAGTTCATGCAGTGACATGCGCTGACGTGGGGGCGCTAATACATCCTCAATTTGGATGTACGCATTTGAGTAGAAATATACGTCTCCTCCCATTATCTAAATTGATGCATTAAAAAAATGTATCACTGTTGCAAATATTCATGAGATTTATACTGGGGCACAGCTCATTTATACTGGGGCACGTGCCCCAGTAAATGGGGTCTGGTGACGCCGATGCTTATAATTTATTGAACAGTCATAATTTCATATTTAAAGTACTTTCAGGAGTTTGGATTCTGAATATGACCGGACTCCTCCTTTAACAAGCATGTCATTTTACTTCACGTCAGTGATTCAATGTGTGGAGAGTACCTAATTATTGGTAGAGCGAATTTTTTATTGAGTTTTGTAGAAGTTTTAGATTGTGTTTATTTATTATAGACTTTGTCATTTATTGAGTTTGTGGTGGTTGTACAAACTCCAGCCAGTCAGGACATCAAATTCACAGCTTTCCAAACAGGAAAAAAAAGAGGACGCTGGCTTAGTGTCTGGGTGCATTTCGTGCAGTGCAAAAAGCTGGACTTCACTTCTGCTTCAGCTAAGTGTGGCATGTCTTGTGTGGTGGTTATGTCAGTCCGGAAGATTATAATGCCAAAGATGTGATGCAGTGTAACATGGCAATATAAAAGAAAGGATCGGGTGTGACTTAAGCCAGGTGCTGTGCCTTCTGTCCATATAACACCTTCCTCATGATCAGCCTCTTGTTCTACAGCTATAGACAGTAGAAGGACAGACTCAACTAGGGTGGCCATTTCTATAGCACCAAAAAGGAGGACATTGTGCGGCATATCAATAAATTACTAAAAGAGGATGCTTGTGTAGCTGAATAGAACAAAATATTAAAGAAATGTAAAAAAGAGCAGCAGCATTTGTATTTATTTAATACATTGTGGTGTTTAAAAAGTGACCATTTTTTAACACGATTAATTTGCGCAGAACTCCTGCAATTGATCATAAAGCAGTTGTTTGGAAAAGAAGCTCGAGAAAGAGCTAGAGAATAGGACGATGCAAACTGCAAAAAGTGGCTGGAAAAGAGGAATTCATGACATGGCTGCAGCCTGTCGAGAGTAAAGATGATTTCACCATGTTCTCTATCTATCCATATCTATACATATATATATATATATATATATATATATATATATATATATATATATATATATATATATATATATATATATATATATATATATATATATATATATATATATATATATAAACTTCAGTCATGGAACTGTGCTTACAGCTCCTTATTTCATGTAAACTAATAACTTGTGTGCATGATACCCGTTGATGGCATTAAAATTATTTCTAATAGCATTGAAAGAGCATTAAATTAGAGCTCCTCATTCCTGTATAAAACCTGTGAACGCTTAATTTAATCTGACATATTAAAAAAATCCCCATCATCATCCAGCAGATGTTCAGTTTCTGCCCAAATATTTTCTTTCTGTTGTTGATTTTTGTAACAGGGATAACTAGGATCATACATAGTTTGTATGAACTCTGTTTATTCTCTGCTTCCAAACTCATCATCTCTTCATCCATTCCTGCAATAAGAATTTTCTTTTAAAGTTGTGAGATTCACTCTAGAATCTCACAACTTCTTCCTGGTCTGATTATTTAATTAATTGCTCTTAGTTTTTGGGAATATATACAAACTATGCTCTAATTTCTAGATA